CTAATATTTAATATGTAATAGTTATATACACTTATACTTGACTTCTTGAATTGATTGATTGCTTTTATTGTTATATTTTATATATATTGTTATATTTTAATTTTTATGTAGCTGCAGCTTCTTCTGCTACAATAAGAAAGATGTTGTGCTCACTTATACTTGACTCAATACATTGATTAATTATTTTTATTACTATTATTTTTTTAATATTGAACTTTTTATAAGTAGTATCTTCTGAATAATTTTATATATATATATATATATATATATATATATATATATATATATATATATATATATATATATATATATATGTATATATATATATATATATATATATATATATATATATATATATATATATATATATATATATATATATATATATATATATTACATCTTCGCTTCCAACAAGGCTGCGAGCAACCACTATAAGAGTTTGGGAGTTACTGGAAGAGAAAAGATTAAGTTCGTAGAGCAAGATAACGATTGACAGATGACTTCAAATATTTCAAATTATATGAATCAGAGAAGCAAGATGAAGGAAGCAAATTCCAAAGAACTGATGGTCGAAGAAAAAAACTAGCTTTAGAGCAGTGCCCATTATAGTATTTGTAGAAAAGAGAAAGAGAAGCAACATCACAACGATGTGACAATGGTTGGAGATTGGCTGCAAGAGCAGGTCCAACTATGTTTACAATGCGTTTTTGCACCTTGTCTTAAAGAGAAAGGGCATTATTAGAAGATCCGCCCCAGATATGGCAACAGTATTCCATACAGGGATGGATTTGAGATTTATAGAGATAGAGAATAGAATCTGGAGTAAGGAAGTGTTGAGCTCAATAAAGTGATGCAACCTTAGCAGATGCTAATTTTGCAATTGATTTGATATATGGTTTAAAAGAAAGATCAGAAGTAAAAGTTAATCCTAGAAGATGAAGGGTAGATGACTCATCTAGTACATTACCATCCATAAATATAGGAAGGTCTAAACTATTGCGATAACGATTGGCCGAAAAAAATTGAGTTTTATCTGAAATAAAATTCACCCGGCATTGTGAGCCCCATGCTGTAGCAGGGTAAGATCCTTTTCAAGCTCAGATACCCCCTCTAAGCAATCAGAGAGTGTAGGCTTTTTATCATGACAAGAATAAATGGTAGTGTCGTCAGTGAACAATGCCACCTTAGATGTGAAAATATCTGGAAGAGTGTTAATGTAAATTAAAAAGAGTATAGGGCCAAGGATTGAACCTTGAGGAACCCCTGAAGTTACAGGATATGAAGAAGATATATATATTTATATATATATATATATATATATATATATATATATATATATATATATATATATATATATATATATATATATATATATATATATATATATATATATATATATATATATAACTATAGAAGCATCTAATATGACCAAAAAAGAATTTTTGTAAAAATGGAGCGGGTTAGATCCTAATGCGTTTATGCACCTTTGATCCTATGATCAAAAGTGCATACACACACAAACACACACACAAAATGTTTAACTTTTAAAGTAACATGTACAATACGTCATATTGTTTTTAAATATATTTTTTTCTTCTAGAATAAAGCCTTAAAATGAAGATTTTATACTATTTTGTATTTTTTTGTTCTCCTAAAACTTTTATATAATATAATTGTAAAGTATTCAATATATATATATATATATATATACCGTAGATGGGGGTAACTAAAGCCTACGGGGAAACTAAAGCCAGTATAGCAGGTAATTTTTGGATGGTGATAGTGGCAGCACTGTTTGGATTCAACAGCTGATGTTGTGTTCTTCTAATAGGAACTTGGACTGCTTTCCAAATACTTGTCTGGATTATTAAAACAATATCACGGTAAGTGTACAGTAAAACTATATATTTAACCTAAAAAATCGATAAAAAAGTCACCTTGCATAACTTCTGCTCTGAACAAATCATTTTTAATCTTAAATTCTCATAACTCTCAACAAACATAACCTCAATTTATGTTTCATCACACCTTTAAAGGTTATAACCTATAACTTGATTCTTTCTTTTGTTGTGATGTTTTTTTTTTCAGTGATACACAACATGGGGTAACTAAAGCCACATCATAAAGGTGGCTTTTGTTACCCCATACTTTAGAATAAGTCAAAATTCCTTAAGTAATAAATTTTTTCTCTTTTTTAGGACTAAAAATGTGTCGAAACCCAAAGAAGAAGCTTGGTAGCCGGAAGTATAAGGATTACACAGATGAAACGCTGAAAATAGCTGTAGAAGAAGTGAAGAAAGGGTCATCTTTAAGAAAGATTGCTGAGAAATTTGCTATATCAAGATTTGCTCTCACTGCTGCCCTGAAAGGTAAGGTTAACAAATGTGGTAGGCCTCCAGTTCTTAATTCTGAAGAAGAAAGAAGATTAGTTGAATTTATAAGCATGCAAACTAAAGACTTTGAAACATAATAAGAAACTTGCAAATCTCATTTGATGATAGTGATGACCAGTATTCTTTGAGAGACTCTAATTCAGATATGGATCCAGAAACATTTAATGACCTGGAATCAGAGATACCAGTAGATCTACAACTAGAAGAAACAACTTATGACGAACCCCTCAAAATAGGAGTCTCTAAAGGAGAACTTAAACCTGATATTTACGTCATTGTTGAGCTCATCTTTGATAAGAACACAAAAAAAGAAACCACCAAACAGTTCTATGGAGTCATTCTTAGAACTTGTTTTGAGAAGAACGAAGTTACAGTAAAGTTTTTCAGAAGAAGCTCCAAATTAAAAGGAAATGACTATATATTTCCAAATGTTGATGACGAAATGGACATTCAGTTAACAGACGTCATTTCAATTGTGAAACCATCCAAAGTAAACAGAGGACGTTATACTTTTCCTTATGAACTAAGACTTATTTTAAATAGTATTTTTTGTCTCTTTTTAATGTTTTTCTTAAATAATAAAGCTTTTTTCTTGTCAATAGTGGTTCTTTATTGTTACAGATGCATGATTTACGGATTTAGTTACCCTAGCACTCTCTAACTAAAGCCAAACATTGCTTTTTAATGGATGGCTTTTGTTGTCAATAGTGGTTCTTTATTGTTACTGATGCATGATTTATGGATTTAGTTACCCTAGCACTCTCTAACTAAAGCCAAACATTACTTTTTAATGGATAACTTTTGTTACCCCTTTTCCAGGGGTAACTAAAGCCACCATGTTTTCATTTTTTTTTTATTAAAAAAATATATATTTCTGCAATTTAGGAATATATTTCTTTAATATATGACCACAGACCCAAGTTTTGCAATATTTATTTAACCTATAAATTAAAGGATCTGACTTGGGCAGAAGTTTGAACTTCGAAAGTGGCTTTAGTTACCCCCATCTACGGTATCTGTGTGTGTTTGTTAATAAAGAAGATTTTAGTAAGTAAAAATCTTTATAAATGTTTATCCAAAAATTAGGAATATAGCAAAACTATATAAATATGTTTCATTTTTTTACAGTTAAATATGGTGTATCATAAAAAACGAAAAACCAATAGACTACCTAGAGGTAAAGTTAATGAGAATGAAATGCAAGCAGCTGTTAATGCAGTTCTTAATGGTAGTACAGTTTATCGTGTATCTAAAGAGAGGGGAATCAATTTAATGACACTTAAGAGATATGTAAGGAAATGTCAATTAAATCCATATACAGTCTGCAAACCTAACTTCATTACCATGCAAATCTTTACCAACAAAGAAGAAACATCTTTATCAGATTATCTTTTAAGGGCCTCAAAACTTCACTATGGATTATCAACCAAAACAACACGAAAACTTGCCTATGAATTTGCAATGACTCTTTCTAAGCGCATTCCTAAATCGTGGAAAAGTTTACAAATTGCTGGGAAACAGTGGCTTCGTGGTTTTATGTTACGTAGGAATGAGTTATCTTTAAGAAATCCAGAAGCTACTAGCATGGCACGAGCAACTGCTTTTAATTGTTATACAGTCGGAGAATTTTTCACCAATCTAAAAGATGTTCGTCTACGACACAAGTTTCAGCCACAAAACATATATAATGTTGATGAGACAGGTCTCACAACTGTTCAAAAACCAGTTAAAGTAATTGCTAAAAAAGGAGATAAACAAGTTGGAAGGATAACTTCAGCAGAAAGAGGGATATTGGTAACAGTTTGTTGTGCAGTCAATGGAATAGGAAACTCAATCCCTCCATTTTTTATTTTTCCAAGAGTTTATTTCAAAGGAAGTATGATAAATGGTGGTCCACCTTGATGTGTTGCAAACCCATCTGGTTGGATGAATGTTGCAACGTTTTTAGAGTGGATGAAACATTTTATTCAAAATGTGAAATGTTCACCAGCTAATCCAGTGCTTTTACTTCTTGACAACCACGAGAGCCATGTTTCAATTGTGTGTTTAGATTTAGCTAAAAAAAAATGGCATAACTATGCTGTCCTTTCCACCACATTGTAGTCACAAGTTGCAACCATTAGATCGGTCATTTTATGGGCCACTGAAACTTTATTACAATGCAGCCTGTGATGATTAGATTGTATCTAATTCAAGACCGATGACCATATATGATATAGCTTCAGTTGTAAGGAAAGCCTATGCACAAGCTTTTACTTTGTCTAACATTTCTGCAGGATTTGCTGTGGCAGGAATTGAACCATTTAATCCTAACATATTTTCTAATAATGAGTTTTTGTCTTCATATGTAACAGACCGTCCAGAACCTATTACTGCTAACCCTTTTCCAGGTGTTGTTGATCCAGTTCATGCCTCAGCTTTTAATCAATCATTGATGTCAAGTCTGTCATCTGGTTCAGCTTGTAGTGTATTGCCTATTCAGCCTATATCTGACCCTGGAAGTCAATTATCCAGTGTTTCTAATAATATCTCTCATTAAGCAAGTCTAAAAAAAATTAGGCCATTTCCAAAAGCTGGATCAAGGAAATCCATTAAAGGACGTAAACGTCAGCGTACTCGAATACTCACAGACGCTCCTGTTCGAAATGAGTTAAATAAGCTTCAGGAAATAAAAAAAAAATCTCAGTCAAAAAAAAAACAACATGAAATGCAAAATAAGATCTTCATGACAAGAAAAAGAAAACTTGATTTGTACTGTTATTTTAGAGATTGAAATAAAAACATATATTCAGTAAGTTGGCCTAATAGATTTTTAGGATCATGCATACTCTCCCCTACATTAATCTTTGTAAAACTTTAAGATTTATCATTGACTTCATATATTTTCTTTAACTTTTTTTTGGGGAAAGCAAAATTTTGAATCACAGACTTACAAATTTTGGAGGAGCTGAATGAATTAAAGAAGTTCTTACTAATAAAAATTCATTAGGCATATTACATAAAATAAATTATATTACATTAACCATTACATAAAATGAACTACAGCCAAAACCATTGTTTTATTTTTTTAAAACCAAAGGCAAAAATAAAAATGAACTTTTGGGTTAAATACATTTAATCAAATAAAATTTTTTTAATTTAAAACAAAATTAAATACAAAAACACATCAATTCTAGATTCCTAAATGGATATTTAAATAAATGCAATATGAGTTTTTGAATGAATGTACGTTGGAAAACCACAAAAGGAGAATATTTGATCTAAACACTTCACAACAGTTGTTGAACTAATATCAGGACATGGGAAAGCAAATGGATACCGAGAATATTCATCAATGACTGTAAACAGATATTTATTTCTAGAATTAGATGGCAACCGTCCTTTAAAATCTATACTTAGGCGATCCATTGGATGTATTGACTTGATTAACTCACAGACATTTGAGGATCGATAAAACTTTGGTTTTAATTCTGAACAAATTAGGCAGTTAGAACAAACTCTCTTGACCTCTTCTGTAGAAAAAGGTAAATTTTTAGATTTAACAAAGTGAAGCATACGAGTAACCCCTGGGTAACATAGACAGCTATGTATACCACTTAGGTTTGTTTGAGATTGGGTTGTAGCACAAAAAGCACGTGTGAGTGCATCAGAGACGATATTATCGCTTCCAGGACGATACGATATAGTATAGCTAAACTCTGCTAACTCCATCCTCCAGCACTGAATCTTTCTATTTTTAATCTTTATTTTCTTTCGGTTATCAAACATAAAAGCTACAGAACGCTGATCAGTAAGTAATTTAAATTGATTCCGTAACAGTAAATGTCGCCATTTTCGAACGGCTTCAATAATAGCCACAGCTTCTTTTTCTACTGATGGGTAATTGATTTCACTTTTGCTTAATGTTCAAGATATAAAGGCAACTGGACGACCATTTTGATTCAAGGTAGCTGATACGGCTAAATCTGATGCATCACATTCAACAATAAAAGGTAAGCTCTCATCAATAGAACTCAAAGTGACAGCATGAAGTTCTCTTTTAAGAAATTGAAATGCTTCAAGTGTCTCACTATTGATAGGAAAGGATTTAACATTAATTAAAAGCCGAACTTTATTAGCAAACGAATGTATCCACTTTGAATAGTAAGAAAACATACCCAAAGTTTGCCGAAGTGATAAAATGTTAGAAGTAGGAGGTAGTAAGTCTAAAGGAAGTAATTGCTCAGAATCTGGTTTTATGTTGTTATGACTAACGCAATAACCAAGAATGTTTATAGAAGAAGCTGAAATAACCGATTTTAATTCATTTAAAGTTAGACCCCAACGTTGTGAAGCGTCTTAAAACCGCAGAGAATTTTTATCATGATGTGCCTAATCATAACCACCAATGGTTATATTGTCAAGATATGGAAAAGAGTCATGTAACCGAACAACAGCCCACTAATCCAGACTCCATTGTTGTGAGGGCCATCAAAATTTTCTTTTTACTGGGTAACGTTTTAATTTTTAAAGTCTCGATAATTTTCTTGCTTATAAAATTATCTGAGCAACAGGAATCGATTAGTGCAGTTAACGGTTCATCATTAATTCTGACAATAACAGCTGCATGAGAGAGGCTCAACGGACAACCACTTGAAACAGTACACAAACTTGGTTTATGTATTGCAGCTGAAACACTGTGGGTTATATTCATCGGCCTGCCAAGACAAACTTTGGAAAAATGACCTTTTTTTCCACATTTAAAACAGGTTACATTTTGAGCTGGACAATTTTTCCTAGCAGAGGTTTGATTACATTAGTTGTGAGATTGATTGCCACAATAAATGCATTTTGTTTGAGGATTAATAGTCATAGCATTGAGTGCTTCTGAGGGTTCTTCTGGTAATTTTATAGCGGCAACAATATTTAAATTGGTGGAAAAGGAGGATGTTTTCTGCATATAAGAATCTGAGTTTCTTCGTGCAATGTCAAGAAAACGAGCTTGGTTAAATGCTGATTGCAAATTCAATGTTGAATTTTCAAGAAGTCGTTGACGAATGTAATTCGAATTTATTCCAGAAATAAAAGCATCTCTTATTTGTTCCTCTCGATATTGTTCAGCTGAAACATCCTTGTAAATACAGTTTTTACTGAGTTTACGTAGTTCCTGAAGAAAGTCTTGTAAGGATTCACTCGATGTTTGATGTCTTATAAGTAATTAATGCCTTGCACAAATTTCATTAGGGGTTTTTATAAATAAGTTTTCTAGGGTTTCAATTACACTTTCATAGGAATCACACCCTTCAATGTAATTATAAACATTTGATGAAACAAAATTAATGATGAAGCGAAATTTGTCTGGAGCATCCTCTTCACAATCCTCAATGAAATTTTCAAATAAAGCAGTTGGTGCATTATGATCAAGATCAAGCCTCGTCGGTTTTTGACTATGCAACTATTGTAAGTCCACAACAACATGTAAAGAAAATGCTTTTAAGAGTTACCTATTTGATAAAAAGCAAGATACGCTAAATTCGGCCTACATTTACTGTGTAACTTAGCAAAACCTGAGAAACTGAGTAAGTTAACTGGCATATTTACCTATTAAATGCTCCTCCATCTGTTGTCATCATAAATGGTTAGATTGTAAAATAATAACAACTATTTAAATTTATTAAAGGTCATACAGTTACTATATTTTTTTAGCGTTTAAAAATTACGACCATGTTCAATTTTAGCATTAATTAATATAGTTGTATATATAAAAAATCAAAGTTTTTAATTATAAATATGTACGAATTGATAATTGTTAAATATAGGGGAAACTGGGGTGTAATGGGATACTGTCAAATTGTTAAAAATAATTAAAATCAATATAATTTTTGTTTTAAATGACAAGAGACTAAATAAACTACGATCTGATAAAAGAAAATGCCAATAACATTAATATAGTATCTTTGGCATTTCCCAATTATTTTATGTTTGTTAAATAAATTGTAATGAATTATTAAAAAGGTTGACCTCTTGATTAAGGCTTTATTTAACAATAATTGTACTAATCTAAAGATACAAGAAAATAGATAAAATATAAAACAAATAGTTCAATAACAAAAAATAGAAAACACAACAAATACAAAACAAAAATGTATATAGTATTACCAAATACAAACATGAATTTGACCAAAACATATATATCAACTGACACTTGATGTAGTTGACACTCCTAAAAATAAAATCTTAATTAACAAGTAAATAAAATTTATGGAAAAGTAAAAAATATTCTTACAAGTGTTATTTTTTTAGCATAAGCATTTTTTTTTTTTAATTTTTCTGTTCAACTTTAAATTGTATCTAATTGATGTTTGACACTATTTATTTCTAAATTTTAACTAATACTACAAATTCTACTAATTTTAACTAATAATATATAATTAACTAATAATAACTAATAATTCTAAATTTCAACTAATTCTAAATTTTAAAAAGACTCATTTTTGATTTATTTATTGACATATATTTTGTATTTTTTGCAAAAACAAAATCAGGGTTTACATTATTAAAACAGACGCTAAAAGTAAGGATTTTAAGGAGACATTTTTCTATTATTTAAAGAGATTTGGTCACGAAAGACAATTTTTTGAAAGAAAAAATAAGGAGAAAATAACTACATTGAAAACAGATGCCAGCCTAAAGGTGTTTGAGGTCGACAAATAATGCTGACCTTGTTTCTATGTTTAATGGTAAGCTTGTTACATCGGTTGAACATCGGCTACTCTGTTTTTAGCAAAACAATATTGGTTGAACGTCGGTTTTGTGTCTGTTGGCCAATGAACAGACAAATTGACATTCAGCCGACATTCAGCCGATAACAGTCAATTTGGTTCTGTTTTTTATTTTAATGATGCATTATATAAAAAAACCGAATAATAAACTTTTTAAAAATGGCAGCAAAACCTATCTATCTGAAAAGCAAAGAACTATCAAAATGTTTTAATGCATAGGAAAGTTAATTGGTTTACCTGTTAAATTAATATTATTTAATAATTTATTTTTTATTTACAGATAGTTATTTGAATAGTTATAAAAATTTATAAGTCATTAAAGTTTAAGATATTTAATTAAAGTTTAAGGTATAAAAATATTAGACAATTATTATCTAATAGTATCAATATACAAGGTATTATTATCATAATTATATCAATATACAAGGTAAACAGTAATTTTTTTTTATAACAGTTTAAAAATATTTAAACTGTGAGCATACAGTTTGTGATTTATGTTTGATTAAAAATTTATTCATTTTTAAGTTTAACATTAAATGATATTATTTAGTTCATTAACTCAAAACTTGTCGAATAAGTAAACAATGATAACTCTTTAACGATTGATTTTTTTTAATGACCTTATTAAATTTTAAAGGTTAAACATAAATTGTGAACATCGTTCAGATAGTAATGTTAAAGATAAAAAAGTTCAATTCAATACAAGGTAAGGTAGAAATATTTTTATATACTGGTAACATAAGTTTAAAGCAAAATAAGTTTAACTATTTTTTTATCATATCATTTCAATTTTCTGCCTTGTTTATTTTTGTTGTATATTTGATATTTACAATAATAATTTTTATTATGATCACAATATTATTATTATTATTTTAATACATTTGCTAATTTATTTACTTAAAGTTACTATAAATAAATAAACAAGCTGTGATACACATTACAGTGTTTAGAGTCTAACAACAATAGATGTCAGACTAACAGCTTTTTACATTTTTTTATGCAGTTGTCATAAAGGGTTTTAAATGTATTTAAGTTTTTTGCATCCACAACTTCTTGTGGTAGACGATTTATTTTGTCCACTATTTTAGTTATAAAAAAATTATATCGACCATTTAACTGCGGTAGTGGTGTAGTGGTAGAGCGCTCGCTTTATAAACGAGTGGTTCCGAGTTCGATCCCCACCACGTCCCTGGTAGTACCGCGCTCAACTCGTTTCTCCGCGCAGCGGCCTCGTTCGTCAAGGTTCATGTTTCGGAGTTATAGAGTTGAGAGAGGGTTATAGCCACAAAATAAGTAGCCTCCTCGTCTGTAGTGGCCTTCTCGGCCTTGAGGAGGTGAAGTAAAATAAAAAAAAAAATTTGTTTTTTTGCTTTGTTGTCTACATATTCTTTTATTGTGCCCTCTTGTAATTGAATTTTTTATAAATATAGGAAGATTGTACCAATTAATTACATTCAAGTTATTCATAAACCTGTATAGTTGCACTATATTGGCTCTCGATCTTCTATTTTTTAATGTTGAAAGAATAATTTTGTTTAATCTAACTACTTTCATATAGTAAACTTTTTAAACTGTGGATACAAGTTGCTCTCTGTTTGTAAATGTGGGTTCCATAATGGTGATCAATATTCAAGATGAGGTCTGCCTAATGAAGTAAATAGTTATCTTATATTTCTTTTATCTAAGTATTCAAAAGAGTGTTTTATTTGCCTATTTAGAAATATTTTCTCCAATTCAACTCATTGTAATCAATTTTTTAAAAAAGCTCTGCACCAGTTTAACAGATCAACAATAATACCTTAACCAGCTAGTTTTATGCACAATCTTTCATGTGGCACAGTATCGAAAGCTTTAGCAAAATCTAGAAATACAATTTCAACTAGAATATTATTGTCAAATACTTTACTAACACTATCTAATGTTTCTAGTAAATTTGTACAACAATTTTTTTTATTCACAAAACCATGTTGGTGCACTGACATTAAATTACTATTGTTAAGATATTTCATTGTTTCATCTCTGACAACACTTTCCATAACTTTGCATACAATCAATGTTTATGAAATTGGTATGTAGTTAGCTGGTTCAAGTATGTCATCTTTTATATGCAATGGTGTTATATTTGCATGCAACCATAAGTTTGGTGGAGTTGCACTTTCGAATGATTGATTAAACATTGACTCTAATGGTTTAAATAAACTTTGCAAGCATTCCTTCAACACTCTTGTATATACTTTATCAACCCCTGTTGTTTTATTTGTGTTTAATTTGTTTTTAATGAGTTTTGTCTCAATTAATAATTTCTCCAATTTTGGATATGGACAACTTAGAAAGGTTTTTTTTTCAAATAATGGAATATTTTTGCTATTTTCAATTATGAATACTGAACTGAAAAATGTGTTTAATGTGTTGCATATTGTTTTACCATTTGTTGTAATATCACTATTTATATCTCTTATGGCTCTAATAGTGTTTTTTATTTTGGTTTTACTGTTTATATAAGAGTATATACATTTAGTATTTGATTTTGACTGTTTTACTAAATTATGTTCATACTCCATAATTGCTTTTTTAATATCTTTTTTTAATATCCTAATAAGGTTGTTGTAATTTGTAGCATCATCTATATTTTTAAAACCTGCAACTTTGATTTTGTACCATAAGTTCCTTTTTAACTATAATTTTAGGTCTTTAGTAAACCATAATGATTTTATTTTTCTAATGTTTTGGTTGTTTTGTTGAATTTGAGGGATGAACTTTTTGCAACCTTTTTCATAAATTGTTAACCATCTTAAAAAGCTTTCATCAACACTTAAGGTTTCAAACTCTTTTTCCCAGTTATGAATATTAAAATATTTATTTAACTCTTTATATTTACCTTAGTTGAACAGATATTTTGTTTGATAGCCTTTGTTATTGGTAACTTTATCCATTAAACTATATTTAAAATTCAATACCTGATGGCCATGTTCTAAATTACCAAGGAGTGGTGTATTTTCTAACATTTCTTTTTCTTTCTTTCCTTTATTCTCTTCTATTTTTTTAGTATAATTAATTAGTTGTAAGAGATTTGTGTCCTATTATAAGAAAAATTAAAAGAAATTTGTGTCTATTATAAGTTCAATTATATGTATAATTTTTTAGATAAAGAAATGTTGAAAAAATCAAAGCCAACTTAGGAATTATTGAATTGATTTTTTCTACAATCTATAAAGGTTTTTTCAGGTCCATTAGTAGTTAAGTTTTTCTTAGTTAGGATTTTATTTATTTGGAATGCAACCTTAATTATACATGTATTTTTTTTTAAATATTTTTATATATCTCTTATTAATTATTAAAAGATGAACTCCTTCAGGTATGTCTCCTTGTCAACAGTTTGTTGTATGATTATGTTAAATTCATAGATGAGTTTTTCCGGAAATTCATTCAAAACACCTTTCATTTTTCCAGAAATTTCCGGATTTTTTTTGATATTTATTTGAAAAAAAATATGTATATTTTTACATAAAATTTTACATACGACAACTTTTGCATTTAAACAAATATGTTTTCTATAATTAAAATTTTCACGAGATCAATTTTCGTAACAATTTTTTTTTTTTTTTATATGTATGTATATAATATGGCCCAAGCTCCAGCGTATTTTATATAGCATGTTAATTTTTATAGGGACTGTTGAATGCAACGAAATAAACAATGCCAAAGATGCAAATGATTTTGGCGGTGCACATCCTGATTCAAAATGCCCAAGTAACTTTTTATTGAATTAGAAATGTAATACTTTTCATATTATAAATATAAATTATTTTTTTCGTTCTCTGAAATTAAAAGTTGAAGTTTGGTTACTGTCTGGAAGTCTATACACTTCCAATCGGTATGTATATATTAGTATGTATACCTTGTCAGTAACCTATATATGTTGTGATTTATGTTATATTGCTGTGATTTATGTTATATTGCTAATTATGTTATATTATGTTATATTTATTAAATTTTAAATTTATGGAAAATTTATGTTTTATGTTTTATTTAAATTTATGTGAAAATTTAATTTATACTTTTTTTTTAGATGCTGCACACAGTTATTTATCACAGTTAATTATCGGTTAATAAAAACGTTGGAATTTCACCGGATTCAATTTATTTGATGATTCAGAATAGTTTATTTAAAAGAAATATATAATTTTATATTATATTTGTGTTTTACATAAACTTTAGTTGCTTAATCCTATTTTCCCTTTTTTCCGATTTAAATAAGTGTGTTAAGATTTGCATCGGCTAGCCGAGCATTTTTAGTTTAATGTCCAAATTTGCCATTTTTTAATGTCCAAATTTGCTTTTTAAATCAATCCTTATGAGAGAGTTAAAATATTATCATAGCATAATTATGCTTATATAAGTTTTCAAAAACACCTGAAGAAATGGTACGCAACTGTCTTATATGCTAAAGATACTTTTATTATGTAGAAAGTCTTAAAGTAAATAAGTAATAATGTAATAAGTAAAAATACTAAATAGTTCTAAAGTATAGTAAATTAAATATTAATTAGAAGGCAAGAACTAAAGGTATTCAGTAAAATGCAAACTGCGTCTTTTTAGCGAAACCAAGACATTTTAATGACCACAACAGATATTTAAAAAAATTGCTTATCAAGTTTTTAAATAAAATATAATGATATTCGATATATTTTATTTAAATTAGACTGTTTTCTTTTAAATTAATTATAATTTAACAAGCAATAGATTTATGGTTTGCAAAAAAGTTCGCATTTTACCAACTAACAGTACTTTAAATTAATTTATCTTTTTCCCCTAATTATAGTATAAAGACTAAATTAGGAACAAGTATAGAAATAGTCGGGTGTGGATTAGACTTACCACGACAGGTATTGTATGGGTCATAACAGCTAGTATGTATGGTTTTTAGATATGTAACGGAATATACATTTAAACCAACAACCATTAAAAATCAGTCTCTTTATTTAAATTATAGAACTAACTATTTGGTAATATTTCACCTAACTTCTAAACTATTTTTCATTTATGTTTGCATGAAGTATCTGTTTAAAACATCATTAACTTAAATTTTCAATTAATGCATCTGCGTAAATAATATGCCTTTTTTTTTAATGTCTCTTGCTTTCCGATTATTTATATTTCACGCATGGTTTTTGTGGAACTTTTGATGTTTTCAAGCGTTGCACTTCCGTCTATAATACTTCCATGGCATAGACCATGCCTTACGCATGCATAAACATTTTTCCAGGCCTGCGATTTTAGTAAAATCGGAGTAGTACTTTTGAACGACAGGATATAGCAGAATTGCATTTAATAACTACAAAAAAAAAAATATCTACGGAAAGTTAACCATAAAACTAAATATTTTTGATACTAATAAAGCAAGATTTTAATTTTAGTCTACATGTTCGTTTGATCTGTGTTCAATTATGAAAAGGCACACTTCCGAATGTAATTCAGACGTCTTTTGAACGTTCCACGCTGACCAAAAAAAAAAAAAAATAAAACCTGTCTACATTAATATTGTTTCAATAAGTATTTATTTAAGGCATACAAACATTTAAATTATATTTATAACTAATTTAGAAAATTGAATAAATTACTTCATTTCTTCTTCACCATCGATAGTTAAACTAATTATTATAAGCTTCAGATAATTTAAAAAGCAAAATAAAAATTCTCTAATATTCCTGATTTTTGTAAAGTAACTCTTTTTTTGACTCAACCAATTTCAAAGATACTCAATAACTTTTGTTAAACTGTTGTTAGAATACAGATACTTGGTCATGTTGTAAAAAGAATTTTATGAGAAAATATAAAATACCTCATCCAAGTACTTAGCTTTATTTTATGATTTTTTGTCTGAATATTATTTAAAAAGTCGCGTTATAAAAATTTTCCTAACGTATCTATAAAAAAAAATTATTTTTACCTAATACTTAACATAAAAAGAAAATTTGCGAATTCCTTGATTTTTAATTTTTGATATTTTGCGTTTTTAGCTCGTATGGTATTTGTTCATAAAGTATGCTAAACTACGCACAAATACCACTGATTTAGGACCTCCTACTCCTTGTACGCACTTTTATATGAGACCTCTTGTAAACATTCAAAACATTGAAAACAGCTCAATTAAGCGTGTTTATGTAACTTCAGCTCTATTGCGCAATTTTGAAATGAATTTTAACAACTTTTTAGGGTCGTATGTCTTAATTGATCATAATAGTACGTATTTATTGACTCGAAAACTTATTCTCCTTTTTACTCACGCGTACATATAATGATTTTATAATTATGAATAGCAAGCAGTCAGAACTTTATAGTATTGAATGTAAGCTGTTCAAAATTACAAAATTTATGGTAAAAGCGTTAACCAAATAAAGCAGCCGTGGAGCAGAAATTAGTTTTGTGACTCAGAACCAAAAGGTCTGTGGCCCGATGCCGGATCTTGCCATATAAGCGATATTGGTAAGGAAAAAGGCGTAAACTTCTTCCTAGTTTAATGCTCTTCCGTGGTACTCTGTGATAAAAGCGTAAGAACATCTTCGAGCACCTTAAATACCACATAAATACATACATATATGCATCTATATATATATATATATATATATATACATATATATATATATATATATATATATATATATATATATATATATATATATATATATATATATATATATATATATATATATATATATATATATATATATAACTGGAATAAAAAATAGCCTAATCAAATCTCGCAGCAAAAACATGTTAATTCCTTATTATGCTTGTTATGTAATTTTTACCATCAACAGTAAAACCTATCAACTCGTGGACTGTATTTTTTGTTACAAAGCGCTATATCGAGATCGATTGCTATATCGAGTCATTATTACAAATGCCGTGAGATCTTCAATTGCTTTTGATAATGATTGTTATATTTTTATTATATTCATCATTAAAACCAGTACTAAGCTCTATAACAATCGTTAATTATTTTTTTTTTGTAGGAACAAGATATTGTATTAGTTGAGAATAAAAAAATCGTAGAAAAATAGTCATATAAAAATGTTTTGGCAATTTTATTATTTTACATTAGAACCGTTCCTTAAATCCCTGATTCTATTATACATGAATTTCTTTTTTAAATATTCAAAACTGATATCTACGCAACCCGTACTGGTAACATTTTGAAGCCAAATAAGTTTGTGCATAAATTACATCAGGTGATAGGAATAGTGTCGAAAATGTACTTCAGAGTAGTGTCGAATATATTAAAAAGGCCTAATGTCGCAACAACAAAAAAGTAATAGTGTCGCAAATGAATTTAATAATGAAAGAAAAGATTTCTACTAAACCCTAAACCCTCAGTCGATATAGCGGCAGCAAACTATAAGATAGTTGGTGTATGTACTGAAGCCCCCGGCTATATCAGTATGACATCAGACATGTTATCTAAACACACATTTATAGTTATAGATTTTTTATTTTTGTTACTATTCATTAGACTCTTTCAGGGCATTATTCTTTTTTTCTATTTTTGGCACTATTCATTAAATTCATTTGCTACATTATTTTTTTATTCTGTTAATCGACATTATTCCTTTTTTACATTTTCGACAATCAAATTTGCGACACTATTGCGCCACAGCTTACGTCACTCTAGTGAAGGGGTTAGTGGTTTTGTGACGGATTCGGACAAAAACGTTGTTACTAAAGAGTTACGATGTTTTGATGAGAAGGGCGATGCAGATTAAAAACGGTTGAAGCTAGCGTGACGCAAATAATGGATGACCCCTAGGTAATTTTTTATTTGTGCATGTGGTAAATTAATACAGCAATATTGCCATATTCAAAGAATATGTTATTATTAAAAATAACATTTAATAATAACAAATGAGCAATCAGATTAAAAGATTAACACAAGTGGAAATATTTGATTTTTTTACAAATCAAGAAAAAAAAAAAAAAAAACTCCAATGCCAATAATAACTTCTCCATTTTTACCAAAGAATTAAATAAAAAAAAAAAAAAAAAAAAACACTATACAAGTGAAAGCTAATATAAAAAATTCTACAAAAATAAAAAAAATATGTTTAATATATTTATATATATATAGTATAAATAATTCACCACGTATGGTTAATACTTTAATTTCTCTAATACCATATAAACAATGAATAGAAAAAAGTAAAAAAGTAAAAAAAAAAAAAAAAAAAAAAAAAAAAAAATTCTTGAAAATTATTATTTAATTTTTGCAACTTTTTCTTGATAATTCAAAAAAAATTTTTTTTTTTAGTTAATAATTGCAGAATTTAAGATAATGGCATCTAAGTACAAATGTTAAAATAAAAAAATCAGAAAAGAATTTATAAGAAATTTACAAAATGTTTTTTTCATGTTCTTTATCTAATTAAAAATCTTTATCTTATTCAGAGAAAGAGGCTGTCATACCTTGCAAAACTGCAAGACGCAAATTTATTGCACAACATTGCATTGAACTTGTAGATACTGGCAATGGACTAATTTTAGTCCAGCGATCCTTGGTTGTATCATAAACCTCAGAAGTGTTTAAACACTCGCCTTCTTTACTCATGCCTCCAACAACATAGAAACGTGTTTCACTTACAGCAATACCACTCATTGTGCGTGGGGTACCAGAATATTGAACAGATGACCATTCTTTTGCAACGGTGTTATATAAATCCATACCTCTATTTACTCCTAATAACTCACTTTGTCCACCAACTAAATAAATAAAATGATTAAGATAAGCTGCAGAAGCATGCGCTCTTTTTGTTAACAATTCTGTACTGTATTTCCATAAGTTAGATTCTCGCTGATAAATTTCCATGGTATTTAGATATTCCCACTGAGTATTAACACCAGAACCTGATTTTCGTATTCCACCAATCGCAAACATATATTTTTCACTAGCAACTACTGATAATGCCCCTCTGGGGCAATTAAGACTTGCAACTCGTTGCCAAACATTATTACAAGAGCTATATCTAAGAACAATATCAATTGATCCAACACTCGATAAGCCACCAACACAATAAAGCTGATCTTCAAAAACACAAACTCCTAAAGATGTAACTTGATAAGGGAGCGGAGCAACTTCTTCCCATTTGTTGTAAGTGGGATCAAACTTTAAAACTGATGATAGCAGTAAAGTAGATTCATTACGACCCCCAATTACATAAAGAAACTCTTTACAAGACACCACAGAGTGACCATATCTTGCTTTTGGTAATGGAGCTAATGGAAACCATTTATAATTTGAAGTAATATAAGCAAAGACATCTTTGGTTGGCTTATCACCCTGCCAACCACCTACACACACAATACCACAAACAACTCCCATGAATTTTCTTGGATGAGCTAATTTTGGATCTATGATGCTGTGTTTTGAATTAGACAGGTGATAATTTATTCCTTCTTTAATAATATTTAGGCATAATGAACTTTTACTAACAAATTCATCTTTTTCTGTCTCTGAGAGATAAGATGGTGAAATTAAAAGAAAACGTATTTCATGCAGTAGATTGGCTAAATGGCTTTCTTTTTCCTTTTCATTCCCTTTATCAGATTTAACCCATGTCAATACAGCTTCAAGAACTTCTTCTTCTTTTATTACCCTTATATCTTCACTTTTAACCAACTGATGTACAATTTCAAATGAAAGATTTTTGAAACCACTAGTTTTTGAAACAATAACAAAATTGTCCATTATCAACTTTTCAGCTGATTGAATTAATGTTTTGCAATTGTGTTTATCAGCTAAAATTAATATTTCTGCAGCACTTGCTGGACTTAATTTTTGTTCTAAATAATTAACTGTCATATCTTTCAAACTTTGCAGTTGTAAAAAATTGGCTGTTGCAACAAGTTGGCGAACATTGCCATCATGGATACAAATCTCACCAGTATAGGCAAAATGTAAAATGTCATCCATGATTTGTCCGGTTAAATTTCTTAAAGTAATTTTACTGTCATCAGGGTTTGTTAACTGAGAAAAAATATTTTTAAAAAACGGGCTTGTTGCAGAAAGTATATTTTTATGCACAGGCAATTCCATATCATCTACAACTATGGTTCCATCGCACATTATTCCTTGTTTACGAAAAAACTCCATTTGCTTCATCAAGGTACAACAGTAATTTGCAAGAACTTCAATTGCAATAGCATCCCCCCAGTCATCATCCTCATTTTCCTCTCCGAACGAATTTTTATGAATATCTTCTTCTGGTTTAACAACATCTTCAGGTTCAGCCCCAAGTACATCATCCCAATCATCAGATATAACTAATTCTTTTTCTGAAGCCATCTTATTACTAAGAATAAAATTAATTTAACAATCGAGACAAAAAATATTTTTGGTTTCAGACGAATTTTATTGGCGATTTTAAATATGCAAATTCTGAATAAGTACAGATATTTTTTCGGAAACAGCTTTGCCGTCCATGTGCGAAGAAGCCTTTCCACTGCGCGATTTGTCTGATCTTTTAACACCAAAGCGGGTTTTCGTCTGTAGTGTAAAATTAGCGATCGCATTTTGTGAGGAATTTACGGGTGTGGTTACGGCCCTTGTCAGCGTCTGCGCCCCTTTCCAATACAGAGACACGACTTCACAAATGTAGTTTTGAGATTAATGAAAAAGTATTTCTTTATTTTTTAAACAAATTTAAAACTTTTGTAAACAATCACTAATTATGTTGGGAGTTTCTGGATGGTAAAGATGAGAGTTAAAGAGCACCGTCTGGCTGGGCGTCCCAAAAACACATCTTTTTCAGAATCAAATGGTTCGAAACATATTCTGGTTATAGATCTATGTTTATACCTCTAAGAAATTTTGATGAGCAGCCGTGACGTAGTGTTAGCGCACTTGCCTCAGAAACAAAGAATCCGTAGTTCAAACCCCACCTCTGGGTAAGTCTTTCGACATCGTTAGGAAGGAGGCGTGAACTTTCAATTAAATGCTCACCCGCGGTGCTCTGTGATAAGACCGTAAGAGCTACTTTGCGCACCTAAATAAAATCATTTTTTATATATCTTTAATAAAAGAAAAATGCCAAATTTAATGTCTCTCTAAACCTTTAAGAAATGTTAGGTGTTGATTTCCATTTTTCTTCAAACTGTCTAATTTCAGAAAACTTCTAAAATCAGAAGAAAAAACTTCTAAAATCAGAAGAAAAAATTGATTTTTCCAGGCAGGTAGTGTAGGTAGTGCCAGGCAGTGCCGTGGCTACTGGGTTACTCTCCTTTTCCCACTATTATTTCTTTATTTCAAACTAATAAGTTTCTGTATGAGTGTGTAACACAATAACAACATCTTTAGCTAAAGTACCACGTGTCTAAGAAATTTTATTTTGAGGTTTCTTTCTCTTTGACATAGTATCACTTCTATAAAAATCCTCAAGAGCCGTCACGCTTACTATAATCCTTTCTATTTTAACAGTAATCTTTAAGATTACAACATTAATTATCTTTAAGATTCTTTTCATTACAAAATTTACTCTCGAAGTAAAGCTTTTTACAAATTAAAACATTTTTGTAGCTATTTCTAAATTCTTTCTCTTTGTTTTTTGGTGATATGAAATCTTTTCCCGTGGATTCTTTATTTTGAAAAAATAAATTGTATTCTTATTGCTTTGCAGTTTAAAATTTGCTGTTCTCCCACCAAGATGAAATCTTGCAGTGACCTCACTTGTCGTTTATTAAATTATTGAAAGTTACAGCTCATGAGATCTTGTTTTATTTTTTATAGTTAATGATACAGGGAATTTCTTATCTTCTTCACTGGATACATAGAATAATAAATGATTGGTTGAATTTAACTAAAAAGATATTGGTTCCGTTTCAGAATTAGAGGTGATTATCAAATAAATTTTCAGTTTTTATGAGCATCGTAAGTTTTTTGTCCAAATCATTTCCACGTTCAATTCTCTTTTGGTAAATCATTTGAACATCCTTAGTTATAGACGTTTTTCTAATTGAGTTTTATACTATTAAGTTCTAGCTAACCAATCTGATCTTTGTTACAATATTTTTGCAAAAAATGTTAAAAAGATCAATTAAAATTTATTTCTACTTGCTTTAAAAATCAATAGATTTTCTCTTGAACAGAAGTTTAATGTAATATGAAAGAAAAAAAACATCTTTTACAACTTTTAAGGATGTTGAACTGTTAAAATAAAAAACTATTTGTTCATTGTTAAAATATTGAGAAACTTTTAGTTTTTAACGTTTATTTGTTTTCTCCATTTTTTGTTTACACTTTCAATTTTATCTTTAATGGTCCAACTTTTTATCTTTTTAGATCTTGATGAAAAAAGTACTAGATACCTGCTACGGATTTTCTGCTTTAAAATTTTCAGCTTGATTTTTTATCAGCTATTTTGTTTCTTTTAGATATTAGAGTTGTATGGGTCTACGTTTTACGTGTACTAGAGGGCTTCTTATTTAACATTTTACGTGTACTAGAGGGCTTCTTGTTTAACTTTTTCCTTCAGGATAGTTAGTTTAAGTAGAACAATAGCTGTTTGAAAAAGATTTTGCTTGTTAACTTTTGTTAACTTTGCTAATATTTGTTTAAGTATATTTTTGTTTTCTATAGAAAAAAATAATTTACTTTAAATACTTTTGCAAAGCCCAATATACACATTTTGACTAAAGACAACCATTTATAAAGTGAGTTTGTAGTGTGACCACTCCTTTAAACTTTCCCGCACTTTCAGCTAATATTCTCATAGAGTCTAGGCATTCAGTTAAAGTTAGTACCATTGACAGAGTATAATCAAACATACTCTGTAGAGGAGTTAAAGCATATAGTAAAATTTTTGTCTTTCATTTCTTTATTTTATGAAGCGAAGAATAAATATCTGCATTCTGTAATATGGATGGTTTTTCAATAAATTAATAAATTGTTCATTAGTAATTTAACACTGAGTTTTTAAGCTCAAAGCATCTTTATTTTTATTCGACAACTTACTTTCATCCTCTAAACTTTATTAGAATTTGCATTTATAATTCATCCAATATGCAGTAAAACCATGCATATTTTGGTTTTTTATGTTTGATAATAAGCACTATTTGTTTGAGCATGAGTTTTTGAATGAACTAAAATTCTTTTCATGATGAATATAAGCAATGAACTCTTGTTCTTTATTTTATACACCAATTTTAATAAATTTAGAAACAGAAAAAAAAAGAAAAGTTAAAAAGCCCTATATCAAATTGGGGCAAGTTCGGGCTAGTGATTTTTTTTCTGCTTTCATATATAGTTATTTCATATATAGTTATAGTTTCATAAAGAGAAAATGTTAAAATTACCATGGAAAAAATATATTCCAAGATCTAAAGATTGTTAATCTAATATTAAAAGTTTCAAAAATATTATATTTAGTTTCCATATATCTTCAACATGTGTCTTAAAATTAAAATTTGAGCGATTTTTAAGTAAAAATTGTTTTTGTACGTAAGTTTTGCAATAAAACAAAAGAAAACAAAAAGTCAAAGAAAACATTAAGTTAATAGGTTCAAAAATTGGCAAATCCTTGGAATTTAACCAAAAACCAATTTTCGTCTGCTAATAGTATTAATCAAATTATAATTCAAATGTTCCTTTCAGTTATTTTATTTGGGGCGTTTTTTGCCGGTATATTTTGGATTTTGACTCACTTTGACTCGAGGTCCAAAAAACGCTAAATTAATCTATTCTAAATGCTTTATACAATGCATACTGATCTCAGTTATCAATTAAAACTTAATAAAATGACATTTATATCTATTCAGGCGGGAGTAAAGGAACGCAAGAGTGGAGAAAAGATCTCCCAAAACGGACAGGGCGAGCAATGCGTGCTACTTTTCTAAACAGCTTTTTACGACAGTCTTTTGTTTTTCCACGAGCTATATGTTTATTCATTAGAAAAATAGCAAATAAAATTAAAAGTTTGGTTAAATACTTGTTACAAGAATATGTTTGTAACGTTAGTGTTACAAGAATATATACATATCAAGCGTCTTCTATTGCGTAGAAAAAAAATTCTTTAGACGAGCGTTGTTTTTGAGTTTTTGCACTAGCTATTCATTTATTTATTAATAACATTACTTATTTGATAAAAAATTTAACAAAGAGCTATAAAATTTTTACTGCATATAAAAAGTGTTTTATATTTTCTTATTGTAATAGAACGCAGGCATTTTAGTAATTATTTCAACGATCAAAAATTCCATAATAAAAACGATTAATATATTAAAGTAATTTATATATAAAATATATAATTCATTAAATAAAATAAAAATTGTTATGCAATAATTTAGAGTATAATAAATTTATTTTTTATCAGTTAGATTAGTCTTATCAAAACTTTTGCATCAGCGCTTTTTTTTAATTTTTTTTTGCAACAAATGTGCCTTTTAAAAAGCATTCATTTTATTATGCGATTACCTTATTTTTTTATAAAAATAAGGTAATCGCATAAAAATAACTTTGTGTTTTTTTAATAATTTCTTAAAATGCCTGCATTCTCTTACACATTGATAATTGTACTTTTGAGAGAAATAAATATACTTTTGCGAGAGCCGTAAATAACTCCCGTCAACCGTTTTAGGGGATTGTGGACGAGAACGAGAGCTACAGCTCTCGCTTTCCGCCGAGACCTGTCTATTAATAAAAGGTTTTAACCAAACTTTCCAATGAAAAATAACTATTAGGACTTATCGACGAGACCAAATTGTTAATATTCGAGCGCATACAACATGTGGGTTAAAAAACTTGGTGACCCCAACTTTGAGGTCACTATGGGAAGTTTTGACAGGGTCGAGTTATGCGAGCTCGTTGCTCTATATATCTTGCATACTGTTAACAGCATATATAGATTGCAATCTAATGAATTGTATAGAGATGATGGTTTGTTTTGAAAAGTAATTATTATTTTTGTTCAAAAAATTAATTTTTTTGAACAAAAATAACAATTATTTTTCGGTTGTGAGAGATTGTAAAGTTAGGTTCTCATGTATTCTTGAATTCTATTCAAGAGTTCTATATAACAAAAGATTTATAGAGGGAAAAAAAGTAATTTGAAGTAAGTAATGGCGTAAGAGTTGGAAGTAAGTAATGGCGTAAGAATTGTCTTTAAAAATGACGAGTACAAAGAGAGGTAAATTCAGTGAAGCCTTAAAAGTTTCAGAGAAATAAAAAACAAACATACGGAATTCATCATCACACGTGGAAATTTTAGAAAAAGAAAAGTCTTTCAGAATGGTGTGTAACTACCATTGCTAGAGTTTCCAAATAAAAGGCTTGTGTTGGAAGCTGTTCCTTTAATCGAACTACATTTATTGCGGAACATTGGAATCATCTGATGAAAAGTCAGGTTGATTTTGCCCTTGGATTAAGGAATGGTTATCAACCACGCACATTTTACTACAACTAATCTAGAACGGTTGCATGAAACCTTTGAGAGGTTTAAACAAGTTGCAGAAGTTTGTTCTTCACCCAAACAATCTTACTTTTTTAGAGATCTGGTGTCAACATGTTTTAGCGCTGAGCTGGATTCAGACTTTGAATGATTAATTTTCAAATGCTTAAATAGGAAATAGATTAGATTGTATTTGAGCTGAATAACTTTGAGTCTTCAACAATTTATCAAATGAGATGGATAACAATAGAAAATAGAAATGTAGCAACCTTTTTTTTAAATTTGTTTTGATATTTTAAAATACGTCATTAAGTCATACCTATATTCAATTGTTCTTACAAATTTAATCTTAGTAATTCATGTAAAAGTTAAACCATAAAATCATTTTTTTTTGTATAAAAACATATCCCATAAATCACACACAAACATACATATACACAAAAAAAATTTTTAAATAACAGTAATACATTTTTTCTATGTAAAAGTATAGTAAACAACTATTACTACTATTATTTAAGTTTTATTAAGCATTCCTTCTTTTTGATTATCGATGTTTGTGTTTTCATGTCATTAACAATCGAAATCTCGAAAAACATGTCAAAAACGACAAAAACACACTAAACTAAAGATATCAAGTTCCATATTATATTTATTTAGAATATCAACATTAATCAAGAATACAAATGTTTTTTTTATATAATTTTATTACTTACATCAATCATATTATGCCAAATCAATATTTAGCAATAAATAGGCTATATTTTTTACAGCCGAAAACCAGTGTAAGGACACTTTACCCACGCGTTTCCGCTACACTTTTAAGTTGGATAAGCTTGAGTTGAATGTCACTTCTTCGAGTAGTTTTATTAAAATAGTACAATTTAGTAGAGTAAACTTGAGTAGGATGAACAAAGCTATATGATTGCTACTGTTATGAGTATTGTTATCACATGTGACGTTAATATTATTTACATTTTTATTACCGTCATTACTTATTAACATTATCTGTGATATTTATCAATATTTTTATTACTATTATTGTTATTATTATTATTATTGTTATTAATATTACTAATAAAATCATTATTATTGTCACTACTGTATCTAATAGAATTATTGTTATTATTATAATTCTCTTAACTTACGTTAATATTATTCTATAATTATTATTATTATTTAATTGGTGCTAACCTTTAGTAATCTTACTATTAGTAATAATTATAAAATGTAAAAATTTTTATTTCAGAATATATTGTTATTGTTATATTCCAATAATATAGCTTTATAGAAAATCTTTCACACTAAAATATTTGTATTGGTTTTCGCAGTACGAGATTGCATTATTGTAACAAACGGATCAGTGAAGTCTCAAAAAAGATGGTTCTTTAGTGTTCTTTTAGTGTTATGGTTCTTCAGTAGGTAAAGGAAGTTAGAATAAAAAAGTGACAAACCATTACTGTTAAATAATAATTAGTACCATAACAATCTTATTTTGCTAGATTTTATGATAACATACATATCTGTTAACATTAATGATAACATACATATCTGTTAACATTAATAGTTATTTTTAAAGAAGTATATATTTGTTTTAAAAAAACAATATTATACAACAAACAGAGGAAAATAGCTCTCTATATGATTTCTGGTCATCATAATCTTTTACATTTTTTGAAAACTATATTAAAAACTAAAGTAATTTAACATAAATTACACGCTTTGGCTTATTACACACACACACACACACACACACACACACACAAATATATATATATATATATATATATATATATATATATATATATATATATATATATATTTCAACTGAATGTAATAAATTAATTTTAAAACTTTGTTGCAAATTTTATGTCTTTATTGTACATTTAATTACATTAGGTAGATTGTCGTTGTCGTAGATTACTTTGTCGAAAATTCTAAAACAACCAAATTATTTGGTGAGAGAGTTTGAACAGTTTAACGTCAATTAATTAAAATCAATTTAATGATTTTGAATATTTTCAAAATTATTTTGAATACTATGTTTTAGAAACTATTAAACTTGTGTTTTCAGAGGGGTAGCTAAGCGTTGGCACATGGGCAGTTGCCAAGGGCGCAACATTCGAATAGCGCAAAAATCATTTTAGGTAAATTGCATATACCTATCTCGTGTAATCTTCTAGGAAATAAAATGCATATACACCCAGTGGGCACCGGAACAAAAAAAGACGTCTTTTGAACGTTTAAAAGACGTCCAAAATGTTCAAAAGACGTCCAAAATGTGTATAAGACGTTTAAAAGACGTCTTTTTTACGTCTGCGCCCACTGGGCACATATTAGTTGTTTTCCCAAAAAAAGGTGCTATATAATGCTTATTATATAGCACCTTTTTTTGGGAAAACAACTTTTGCCAAGGGCGCAACATTCGAATAGCGCAAAAATCATTTTAGATAAATTGCATATACCAATCTCGTGTAATCTTCTAGGAAATAAAATGCATATACACCCAGTGGGCACCGGACCAAAAAAAGACGTCTTTTAAACGTTTAAAAGACGTCCAAAATGTTCAAAAGACGTCCAAAATGTGTATAAGACGTTTAAAAGACGTCTTTTTTACGTCTGCGCCCACTGGACACATATTAGTTGTTTTCCCAAAAAAAGGTGTTATATAATGCTTATTTAGTTTTACTCTTAATGCCTAGAATATTCCTAGATAAGCATAATTTGTGCCTATACCCATTTACGACACATTCACAAAGTATGTTGATTATGTGTCAAAACAAGGTTTTCGTTTATCTTGGTGTTAAAAAATGAAATAATCGCCTGCGTAAAGATAATAAATTTACAAGTTCTATAAGATCTTGTTAATTTTTGCTCAGCGTTTGACGAAGAATCAGTGTTAAATGAAGTATTTTAAATGTAGAGACGTAAAGATATATTTTGATTGATCACACCTGTTTTTAATATAGTGTTGTGATTTGAATTTGAGTCTGTTATCTGAGAATTTTGTAATGTAGTGTACATATTTTTCGATATATATATATATATATATATATATATATATATATATATTTATATATATCATACTTTTTTTAAATATAGTGCTGTGATTTTAATTTGAGACTATTAACTGCAGGGTTTCCAAAAACAGCCCTTTCTTGTTTTTCCATTTTTTCCAGCGAGTGGACACTCTGATCTGTGTATTTTGTATTGTTGTGTAAAAATATTTGGGTATGTATTTTATTATTATCTTTTTAAACCCATTTATTTAACCATAAATATAAAAGTTACAAATTCAATAAAAATTATGTTTGTTGTCACTCATATAGTTAAAAACTAGTCATTGGAGTCAACACCTCAATAAAATAAATAAAAAAAAAAGTAATAGGAGTAGTAATATAAAAAAAAATTGGAAAGAACGGATGAGATAATATGAGCGATCGAAAAAGTCAAAATTTCATGTCTTGATAAGTATAATATATGCATTTAACTGAAAGATTTCAAAATTTTAAGATTATTGCATAAAATTTAATTTTTTGGGATATGACCGCAGATCAATGAGAAAAGCAAATTGAATTGATATGCAAAAAATATTCGGATACTAAAAAAATTGAAATGAAATGTTTCAAATGCCAAATTGCAGCCGTTATTCAAGATAAAAATGAGATATCTTAAATATGTTAAATATAATTAACTTTACGACTATTACAACTAAAATTGTCACATTTAAAATGAGATGGACAAGTAATATTGAATTCTACGTTAGTAGAATTCAATGTTACTTAATTATCTACGTAATAGTAGATATTTGTTATATATAAATATCCATCTTTTGTGATTACTAATGCATGCGGTGGTTAAATATTTTCAAAAAAATACTTTTACTTTTTAATAGTGTTGTTATTGACTTCAACTAAATTGACTAAAAGTCGACTAGACGAAATTCGAAATTAGTCGACTAAGATAAATTGAATAGTCGATTTAATCGAATATGGACTTCCTACTAATCAACTAAAAATCGATTTAGTCGAGTAAAAGTCTTATAATGCTTATACCTTTTCATTCGATTTAACTTTTCAATTTCTATATTTGTTTGTTTATTTAATAACAATTTACTTTTATAACTTTTAAATAGTTTTTTGTTTAATCTCTTAAAATTTTATCTAACTTATAGCATGTTAGCATAATTTATAACTAATTACACTTTGGGTTATATATTTCATTAACTTTTTTTCTTTTGTTTACTCGATACTTGTGATTTTCATAAATATTTCATACAGGGCCGCTCTAAGCTGGCTCAGGGCCCTGAGGTAAAATCAAGTTGTGAAGCTCCAAAATCTAAATGTCATTAATCTATACAATCATATGGAAATATGACTGTAATGACTTTTTGGTATACAGCAAGTGTTTAATGCGATTCCTAAATCGTTGTGGTCTGGAAATAAATTGTTCCGTAGTCGAAGCGGCTTTTCTCTCAACTTGTTTTGCTCCATTATTATTTAAATGTGATATTAAAAAATTGAAAGCGAGTATGAATTACTAAAAAAAAGTTATTTCCATACTTTGACTAAATCGACATTTAGTCAATTTAATCGAATTCAAAAATCTATTAGTCGATTTTGTCGACAGTCGAATTATTTAATAGGCGTAACAACACTACTTTTTGAGTTTTTGTTAACACACAAGCAAATACGGGCATTGGTATGTAGCTTCTATATGACAATTAGCTGGAGAAGGATAAACAACAATACCAATCAGACAAGAAGATAAAACAAAATAAAAACTACTTTATTGTTTAAAGGTATGTAAGTTGACATGTCCCGAAATTTAATTTTTACTATACATGTATTTCCATACTTCGACTAAATCAACTTTTAGTCAATTTAATCGAATTCAAAAATATTACTATACATGTAGAAATAAAAATATTACTATACATGTAGAAATAAAAAAAATGATTAAACGGCATTCCTTCCAAGTTTGTCAAGTCTTTTCATTGATAAATCTTTATTTTTAAAAAGCTTTAGACAGGTACCGTTCTAGGCCACCCCTATTTTTTGAAATTTGGGGCTTTAATGACAAAGAATTTTATGGGGTTTGAGGGACTTAGACCAACTAGCCACGATACTGCTCTAGACAGTGAATTATAATTTATACAACTTGATAATGGAACTTGGATATGCATATCAGTTTATAGATTTAATCAGAGTTTACACTGTTTTTTTTTTTGACAGCATTAAGATTTAAGTCGATTAAATTGTAGCACATCTTGCACGCTATAATAAGACTTTCAAGACCAGATAAAATAGAGCTGAGACAAATAATGTTATCAGCATAAGCTACAACACCGATAAAATTTCCATATAAATTAAACCAACAATGTTATCATATGCATATGTAAAACAGGTGGGGATGACAAAATTAATTCTTGTTTCACTCTTTATTAAATTGAAAATTAAATTTATTTTAAACCTAGGAATGAGATAGCTAAATTGCTGTTAATGTATAAAAAAGATATTGTGAAGACTATTTGGAGAAAAATTTTTTTATCAAAGTAAAGTTCATCTAAAAGAATTGCCTAATAAGGTGTATATATATATATATATATATATATATATATATATATATATATATATATATATATATATATATATATAAATATATATATATATATATATATGCATATATATATATATATATATATATATATATATATATATATATGTATATATATATATATATATATATATATATTTATATACATATATATATATATATATATATATATATATATATATATATATATATATATATATATATATATATGTATGTATATATATATATATATATATATATATATATATATATATATATATATATATATATATATAAATATATATATATATATATATATATATATATATATATATATATATATATATATATATATATATATATATATATATATATATATATATATATATATATATATATATATATATATATATATATATAGAGAGAGAGAGAGAGAGAGAGAGAGAGAGAGAGAGAAATTGGATTGGTAGTTGGCATTCATCAAATGTTAGCCAACGAGGACTTTTTCTTTTTTTTAATTTATTTGAATTCAGCTAAAGATGATAAAAAACAGGGACTTGCAATTTTAACAGAATTTCATCAAGCACAAACAAATTATAGATATATCGTCGCACAAAGTAATAAAAAACAATTAAAGAAATTAAAAAAATTTGAAAGTGGAGAAAAAGAAAGCAGTCATAAATAGAGGAGAAAAAATGATAAATCAAAAATAGTAAATAAAAGCGTGAAACTTATCTTCTGTAGAATTTCATCTAAAGTTATAGAATATTTTTTTAATTCTTCAAATTAAAACAAAAATGTTTTCAACTTCTTATGATTTAATCACAAAACATAACATGATTTGCATTTTTCTTTTCACCGCATATTGAGAGATATTTCTTTTTCACCACATATAGAGAGCTTTTTCTTTTAACTCATCATTCTTTACTAAAAGCCCTTACTGAATGTTTGCAAAAAAGATCAATCCTTTAATTGATATTTACTTTACTTTGATTGGTTGACATTCATTCTACTTCTCCATCAACATCCGATCTAAAATAAAAATAAATTTCTATTAATAAAATTTAAAACAAACAAGTATTAAAAAAGAAACCAACGATTTAATGGTGTTGTAGTCATAATTTTACAGGTTATAGTGAATTATATTGAAGATGAAAACCAGAGAATATTTATTGTTCCATATTAATTTTTTTTTGTTAAATTATGGATTAAGTTTAAATTTTTTGGAGGTGTGTAAATTGTCTTTTGCAAGTATTTTAGATTGTTCTGAGAAACAACTTAGCGAAGTGCCACACAACTTTCCGATCGAATTGTATGCGGATATTAAGGAGATAAATCTAAGTAATAACCTTATATCTTCTGTCGATGAATTTTGTTTTTCCAAATTTATTAACTTGGAGGTCATAAAACTGATCGGAAACAAATTAGACGAGGAAAAAGTACACAAACAGGCATTCAGTGGATTAAGGAAGCTTCGTAGCCTTTATTTTGACAATAACAACTTTAAGTCAATTCCAAATCATTTTATTTTCTTCAAAAAAAGCGTAGGAAGACTAGAAATGAATGGAAATAAATTAACTTATATTAACAAGATGTCTTTAGGCAGCTTTTCGTATTTAAGAAAACTTGGTTTACAAAATAACAATATTATTGTTATTGAAGACGGTTCTTTTGATAATTTACGAAAGACATTGATCGAATTAGATTTGCGTGGTAATAAACTGTTATATTTTCCAAAAACTTTGCTGGTTCTTCATAATCTTCATCATCTAGATATTAGAGACAATTATTTACAGAATTTAGGCAGATACCAATTCTCGGGAATGAGTAGTTTAAAAGAACTGCATATTTTTTACGAAGATGGTATCTATAACAACGATGGTATCTATAATAAATCTTTAAGTATGATTAAAGTTGACAAAAATGCTTTCAGCAATATGCCCGCTTTACAAACTCTTTTTCTTCATTATCCAAATTGTATTCTTGACGAATTCCCTCAATTAGAAGGAAGTTACAACATTTCTCGACTAAGTATTCAAAATATCAAAAACTTGCAAATTCCTTTAAATTTTTGTGACAAAATGAAACAACTAAATTCAATTTACGTATATAATTGTACAATGGAGAACTTTCCTTCGCTTAACAAATGCTTTTCTCTTCAAATAATAGACTTCGTAGGCAACAGTATTAAACATATCACAAACACCGCATTTAGTGGCCTTCCATTAATTGAACGTATCGAGATTTTAGAACAGAACTATGGGACATTATCAATAAACCTGAACGCTTTTAGTGAATTACCATCACTCAAAGAACTAGAAATATCTGACTTTGAACTTGAGAATTTTCCTAATCTCAAAGGAACAAACTCGTTAGAACTATTAAGCCTAAAATCCTGTAAAATAAAATCGGTTCCAAACGACTTTTGCAGCAATATGAAAAATTTAAAAATAGCTGATTTTTCCGGAAATATTATAGGAGCAATACCAAGTTTTTCTAATTGTATAAGTTTAAAAGCATTACATCTTACAAATAACCAAATAACTTCTGTTGGAACGCAATTTCAAAGTGTAATTACACTTGAAACCATTAATCTTAATGATAATCATATATCAGTAATTAAAGAAGATGCATTTAAGGCAAGCAGAGAACTCAAAGAAATTCATCTTTCTCATAATCTCATATCAAACATTAATGATAATATATTTGAAGATATAAAAAGCTTGGGATATATAGATTTATCATTTAACAATTTGTTAAAAATACCCTCGAAAGGATTAAAATCTTTATACTCTATAAAGGTTTCTGGCAACAAAGGTTTGATACATTTCCTTAAAAAAGAAGAATTACCAAACACTTTGCAGTTAGACCTTGTTTATCCTTACCACTGCTGTTTCTTTGAAAATAAACTTCAAAAACATAAAACTCAAATGGTTTCTTCAACTCAAAACAGCGTAGTAGAAGAGCTTCAAAATCATAACAATGACACAAAATTAATTTTTCGTGACGCGGTTGATTTACATCCTTCAATGCTAATAAAACCTCATTGTTTTCCATCTCCAAATGACTTCTATCCATGCGAAGACCTTTTTGGTAAAAACTGGTTACGTGTTTGCGTATGGTTTGTATTTTTAATGGCTTTTTTTGGAAATATTAGCGTAATTACTGTGTTGTTAATAAACTTTACAAGGCTTGATATTCCGCTATACCTTGTTTTAAACTTAGCACTAGCTGATTTATTTCTTGCAATTTATGTAGGTTTTCTTGCATTTGTAGACGTCATTACGTTAGGAGATTTTCGCTCTCACGCGTTAGAGTGGCAGCTTAGTGCAAAATGTAATATAGCTGGTTTTTTAGCCACATTTTCCAGCAAACTTTCAGTTTTTACATTAGTTGTTATAACAATAGAGCGATTTACAACAGTAAAATATTCTATGTATTACGAAAAGCGCATGACAAAGAGACAGACTACAGTTATTCTACTGTGCGGTTGGGTATTTTCAATTAGTCTTGCCCTGCTGCCTCTTTTTCAGTTTGACGATATAAGGTTTAATGATTATACAAAGTATAGTGTCTGTCTGCCATTTGAAACTAAAACTTTACTTTCTAAAGGATACGTTATATTTTTAATATCTTTTGACGTTGTTGCATTTTTTGTGATTTTATTTTGCTATATAAAGATATACTTTTATATTCAAGATTCAAGCGCTTGGAACTCTAGAGATTCGCGCGCTACGAGAAGAATGGCACTACTCGTTACAGCTGATTTCACATGTTGGTTTCCTATAGCGTTATTCGCAATAATATCTATTATAAAGAAACCATATGTTTCTAACTTGTGGTTTTTAAAAGTGCTAACAGTATTTGTTTTTCCAATCAATGCTTGTACAAATCCTTTTATGTATGCATTACTAACAAAAAAATTTAGAAAAGAAATGAAAATAGCTATGCAAAAAATAAAAAACTATTCACCCCAGTATAAAAAAGAGCGTGCTTTGTCTACACGAATGTCAGGGGTGTTTACATCAATTGGTCTACCGTTGTCTGCGCGTCGCGGTTCTTCGTTTTCTTTTATTAATTCAAGTCGTAATTCTGGAAGAAATGATGATCTTAAAATAATGACCCAGGGACTGAAAATATTGCAAAAAGAAACTGAATATTGTTCTGAAAATTGATTTTCTTGTATTATTTATAAAAAACATTTTTGTGTAAAAGAATTTAAAGGAAAAGTTTTTTTTTATATTAACTACGCGGTGTTTTTTATCATCTTTAGCTGAATTCAAATAAAATAAAAATAGACCAGGGGTGCCCAACCCACTGCCCGCGGGGATTTTTTATACCCTTGAGATATTTTTGTTTGCCCTTTAGAGATTTCTGTGAATAAGCTTCTTTTAACTATCATATTTTTTTAAAACTAAATTTTCTAGTAATTAATTTTAAAGTGACTTAATCAAGTTAAATTCATAATCAAAAATTATTTTTTAAATCAAGAAAAATTATTTTTTAATCAGTCGGTACCAGAATCCTAATAAAGCAAACTTAAAAAACACATTTTAGTACAAAACAGAATTGATTGAAAAAAAAAATAAGTGGAACGTATTCCTTGAAATTAAAAATTATTTTTCTATTTGAAATGACTAAAAGTGACAAAAAACTTAAAAAGAAAACGTGAGAGTAAATTATCATCAAATAGTAACCTCAGAAACTTTACGGTACTTTTCAATTGCTATTGATGTAAGTTGTGATTCAACTGACAATGCTTAACCACTTGCTTACATCAGATGTGTAAATGAAAACTTTGATGTCAACTTCAGACCAAAACAACCGGATCAGATATTTTTGAAACATTGAAAAAGTGTAAAGAAAATTCAAAAACCAGCACACATAATCTGAATTGGAATAAACTTATAGTATTTGAAATAATGGGGCATCAGCAAGGATTGGAAAGAATTATGGCTGCTTTTCTCTACAGGAGAAATATCTAAAAAAAATCTTTTTAAATATCATTGTACCATTTATCAGGAATTTCTCCGTTTCAAAGACATGAAATTAAACCATGTAATTGACACTGTTTTACAATGCTTTAATAAGCAATAACAATATGTGTCAAATAATAAATCAACAATAATGAACCAGAGCATTTCATAGACGAGAGTTTTGTTCGTTTTTTGAAAAAAAAAAAAAACTTATGAAAATGGAGATTTTTTGCTGCATCGTACAATTCATATGTTGTCAAACGGCAAAATGTTGTCTAGATTTTTTACTAAAAATCCTAGAACTTTAGTTTTTGGAGGAAAAGAATTTTATTATTATCAGAGTGTGAACTACTGAAAAGTTCATCTTGGTTAAGTGATTTGGCTTTTTTAATCGACATAACAATCTATCTTATTAAACTGAACACAGGCCTAAAAGTTGAAAAAAGGTAATCTCAACACTTTTCAATCAGACCATTGGTTTTAATTACAAATTAAAGCTACTTTATAACTGCGTAAAGCTACTTTATAACTGCTTATCTCTGAAAAGTCTCCAATCCTTCAAACATTTCAACCTGAAAGTTCAAGTTTTTTGATGGACTGTAAAAAATATAAACTGGCTATATCAAAACTATCAGAGTCCTTTGATTCTGATAGTTCCCATTTTTATGACTTTGATGCTGACAAAATGAACACAATTCTGTTCAATCAAGAACACACAGCATTAAAAGCAAAGTTTAAAGAGTTTTGTGAAAATCCTATGTTCCCTCACCTCAAGGATTCTGGAAGTTTGTTCTTAAATCTTTTTTTCCAGAACTTATTAACATTGCACTTAGATTTGTCTACAAATTTGGTTCAACTTCTGAAAAACCTGATTCTGATATCAACCTCAAAATTTAATTCTGATAATGATAAATTCATCAATAATATTCAAGTTCAAAAACCTCATTAAAATACATTTAAAATACACCTCTGATACAGCCGAAACCTTTACTAGTATAGCTTAATAGCTTTATTTTATAATCGTACATTAATAAGATTGCTACTAATGTAGTTACTTGATTCCAAGAATTGTTGCTAGATACACGGTAGTTACTTAGCTCTTTTTCTAAAAATATTAAAAATTAAATCTAATTTAAAGAAATAAACCATTGCAATGGTTTTTATTTAAATGTAATTAAAATTCGAATTATACACTATTTATAGGGTTACCAGATGTCCGGCCTTTACGAAAAAGAACATATTAAAAAAATTATTTTTAGGTTTAGGCGCTGTTTTCTCCTCCATAAAATCCAGACGTCTGACAACCCTAAATACTTACCTCAAGAGAAGATTTGTTTTAAAAATTTACAAATGTTAAATAACTTAAATCAGTTCAGTTACTTTCATTCCAATACTTTTCAAACATATTTTTATTCAGATGTATCGATAATGTTAAATTACATTTACATTAAATTACATTAGTTTTTTTATTTAATTCTTTTGTGAATTAAATTCTATATAAAAAATTTGTTTTGATTGGAAAAGAATTTAAATATGAAAAATTTGAATTTGTTTTTTATTTTCGTTTAAGAAAAATAAATTATGCGTTGTTTTTCTCCACCTTTTGAAAAAACCGAGTTATTGATTGTGTTATGTACCTCGAAATAATGTTTTTCTACTATATTGAAACCTAACTTGTAATCAAAAAAGTTGAGGAGAAAAATTAAGTAATAAATATCTTTTATTTGTCGTCTCCTAAAGTTTTTATTTTTTTAAAGCGTTTTATCTCAAAACTCAAAAATGTGGAGATAGAACAAAATAATTTTAACCTCGCGATAAGTCATACTTATTTAATTTAAATTTTTTTTAGTAACTATTTTTTGATTATTACTTTGGATTCGTCGTAAAACAATGAAACGAGTGTCCGTGCAGGAAAAGTGTTAACATAATAATGGTTAGTGAAAAGATTATTGATTTAGTTTGATGTGTTTTTTTAATTTTTATTTTTGCAATAAAAATGCAACCACTTTTCCATTCGTTTATAACTTACAGATTTTAACGTGAATGCGTCATGTCCAGTTTTCTTAAGTATGAAGGCGAGAAAGAAGCTGCAGAAAAAGCAGCAGTTAAAGTAGAATATGAAATCAAGTGGAACGGTGTTAAAAAGTACAAATGGTGCGTTTAACAAAATGAGGAATAGCCTCATTTGCCTTCTAAATTGGGTAATTTAAATTTTGATAAATGTGCATTTTGTTATATTTTGAGGTCTCGGGTTATGACTAAAACTACTATTTATGTCCACACTTATTTGGTTATATCAAATGCTTAAATTAAATGCTTATAATGGGAAAAAATATTTTATAATGAG